TGGGGAGGTTGGTGGCCCTGCATGTGGCAGGGGGTTGGAGATTCATGATCCTTGAGGTCCCTTCCAACCCAGGCCATTCTGTGATTCTGTGATTTATAGCTAATGATTCCCAACCCATTCATTAGCTTTTCATTAACTTTTATTTAGGACTGCTAATGAGCCATTACTGACCAAGCAGACTTGTCTCAACTGAATAAAAATGAATGTGTGTTGTGCAGGAAATAGTGTGTTCCAAATGAAAAGGAGCTTAGTTAAACTACATTTAGTAACTACTGCAGGAATGAAACTCTGCACTATGAAAAACTGTCTTTAAAGGATGATTAATGTTATGAAATGGCATTTCTTTTGTTTTCTTTTTTCCAAGAGTGTCTTCAATTTGTAAACCTGGATTTGGTGAACTCAAATGATTTGACCCAGTTCTTGATGCTAGAGAAATACAAACGGCAACACAGTTTCCATAGCCTGAATACTACTGACGTGGCAGTACAGAGCATTAGACATCTGGAAATAAGGAAACAGTACAACCAAAGGCATTTTACTTTCCACTTGGAAAGGCCTTACATGGACAGTGAAAAATCCTCTAAACTACTTAGATTACTTGTTTCTCTCTTATTTATTTATTTATTTATTTATAACTGTAAATTCTGGTATTGATTTAAAACTTTGTAATCAGCTGTGTTTCATTTATTTTACTGGTGTCTGTTACAGAACCTATTAATGGAACTTAACAGTTATATATACTGTTGTCTTTCTTTGCTACAAAATATGTAAAAAAACCCAAAAAATAGTGTTTATGTACAGTACTCCAAGCTGTAAGTCAGAAAGTCAGATGCAGAGCTTAACTACTGAGCTGGTTGCATGCAAAAAAAAAAAAAAAGAAAAAAAGTTTTCCAAGTTATTTAAGGATCTTTAATGTAATACACAATATGCAGTAATTTACACAACCATCCCAAGAACTCTTGCTACGATCTCTTATGTTGGATGTTCTACAAATGTTGGCAGTGTGATCCTTGACACTGCTGCTTGTTCTTAGTGTCCAAGATCACTATTCTTTTAATGGAAGCTGTAAATTCCTATTAAATATAATCATGTAAATGCTCAATTCTAACCTCAGCTTCATATGGGAACTCTGTTCAGTGGCTGGCTGGTGTAGAGCTGGTTAGTTTTTCTACTTAAGTGAAAGTGTATGAATGAAGCTCACAGCTAGCCTAATACAGGTGGGCTTTCATTATCCTCAGCCAAAGCTGTTGGGTGATCCAGTAAAACAGAGACAGTCCTGACTCATCTCAATCTTCTGAGAAAACAGCGATCCTGTTTTGTACAAGTCATCCAGAAATACCAGCAGGTCCCAGCAAGTTCTGTCAGCCTTCATCTTCAATAGAAATCTTTAATAGGTTCTAGCAGCTGTGGTGAGATGATGTTGTTGGGTGTATCTAGGTAGAACTAGACTCCATTCAGTCTTTATAAACACGAGAGAGAAAGCTTACGCCCCTTAGCACAACTGTGTGTATGCATGTGTGGCATTCCACAAGTTTTGATGCTTTAATATGTGTTTTCTAGGAAGCTTCACTATAGCCCTTATGTTCTCTCATCTGTTCTAGCTGTTTGGCTGCATTTTGTCATGGTGCATGTAAAGAGTTTAGAGACAGCAATTTTAGCTATGTGAGGTATTAAGATGAGGCACAGTTTATAGAACTGAAGAATCATAGATGACTTCTGAAGCTTACCTAGTCCACCTTCCTGCTAAAAGCATATCTAATTAATCAGGTTGCTCATAGGTGTGTCCTGAACCTCCAAATACAAAGCAAGCTCTCTGGGCAATATTTTCCAGTATTTGACCACTCTCATGGTGAATTTTTTTCCTAACATTTGATATAAATTTTCCATATTTCAACTTGTGTTTCTTGCCAATTGTTGTATCCAAATTGACTGACTTTTTGTGTATGTCTTAACAGTTAAACGATCCTTAACTCTTCTACTGCTTCACTCCCATAGACTCTGCTCATAGACTTGGGAGACAAAGAACAAGAGTCAGTGAAAACTGAGGCAAAAAAGATGTCAGTGTATTCGTAAATCCTTTTCTTGTTCACTTTCACATCACTTGCTAGTTTCATCTTCAGCTTTGCAAACCCTATGTGCAGGCAATTTCACTGTGTTCTGTCCAATAGCCCGATAATGCTTCCAGCTTCTGGGTCCTTCTTATATTTGAACTCAGTCAGGGGCTCCATGTTTCCCCACACTGTCCTTCTGCCATGCTTGCTCAACCTCCTGTGCTCTTAGGAATGCATAAGCACATGTATGTATTTTGGGGTAGTTATATGGGTTCTAAAGCTCTTTCAAAATCACTTTCTTATGGATTTTCTTCTTTCTTTTTATTTTTTAGTGGAAATTACAACAGAGCTGGAAATCATTTCTACATTTCACCTACAAGACCTCTACTTTTTTAGCAATTCATTGCCCCTCTTGCTGGAGAAAAATCTCTGCACAGTATAAACTAAGACTTTGATTAAAAAACCTCCAAGCTCACTCCAGTGCAATTATTTGTTGTGGTGGTGAGGTCATCCTGGTTGCAGAACCAACAGCACGCAATAACATCATTTTCCTTTGTACAGTCAATTTTCTGCAATGAGTCTCCAATTCATAGGGAAATACATATGAACTCTTCCTGTCATAACAGTGAACTGAATGTGTTTGCTGGGAATTAAACAGGAAAATAGGACTGTTCAAATTTTAAAATAAATCCTTATAGTTTCTTCATATAATTGTATTTCTTCCATACTTCCAGATTTGAAAGATGACAGAAAATGGCACAATGGCAAAAAAATAAACCCACAGCATAACAAAATTAGCTTATAGCTTTTCCAAATTAAACTCTTCAAATAAGTACTAAAATTGCACTGTGGTGATTTTGTTTATCCTTAATATCTGTCTGGATTAGGAATTAAGGAAAGGTTCAGCTGCTTAGCCCTGAGCAATGACATGGCACTCTTTTTGTTTGCCAGTGTTTTGATTTCCCTTAAAATCAACTGGGAGAGATCACAGAATTGTCCTGCTGTATTTGAATGTCTCCTCTGCTGTAGTTTCAACAACCACGCTGGGTGACTTCCTCCAACATTCAACCATCACAGTAAAAAAGTGTTTTCCATATGTTTTCCATTTTTTCAAGTCCTCTGGAGAGAGTTCCAAGGTATTAGTCCCTTCATTGATTACACAGTACAAAAGCAGAAATATTAGTGCCTTCTTTTGTTCACCATTCTTTTCATGAGTATAAATTTAGATTTTATAAAAAAATGATAAAAGTATTGGAAGTTGGCACAATGGCTTACAGTTTTCAATGTCTAAAACGCTTTATCAGGAAGGAGGGATTTAGGTCAGTCTCAGGTAAAAAGTTGAAAACAAATCACTCTAAGTGCCAGTAACTATAGGATCTATGGTAGCTTTTTTTAGGAATCAGGGGTTGAGGAAACTTTGTATGAAGGACAATGACTCACAGGAGGAATGGGAGGCTTGCTACTTGGATTACAAGTGAAGGTGATTATAGAAAGACTCCAGGCAGATAAGGGATAAATGTAACGAAGAGACGCTAGATTTCCTTCAGTACACCTTAATGCTTTGTTTCACATGTTCTTTTTCCAAGCCTCTGACACTTAGGTACCTGATGACAGTGTAATGCTGGGCTTTCCCATCAGGAATAAAGTTTTTTCTTTTTTTTTTTTTTTCCAGTAAGAAATCAGGTTAGACAAGGATATTGTTCTTCTGGTCTTATAGCTGAAGACTGCCTAGAATGTAAATGTTCCACTTAGTGGGTGGTTCTGAGGATTTGCAACTCTTTAATGGTCCTGACAGATTGTTTCCAGCTCCACTGATATAAATGAGTGTGATGTGATGAAAACGGAAAGAATGTGTGCTGCCTGTGAGCGTTTTGCTAGTCTCAACTGAGACATGAGAACAGTGAAAAAAGTAGCCCAGTTACAGTAGAATACTTCGATGTGCTTTTTGAGAAATTAAACTAATTTTCTGTTGCTGCTGTAGTTTTTGACATTTAAAAAAGCAACATGGCCCCAGACAATTGCATTTTGAAAGTTAGATTATATTTCTATGAGCTTGCTAAATGCTGCAAAATGGACTACAGGCATAAAAATTCAAATGTTCAATAACATCCCATAAGCAGGATTATTTCCATTCCTGAAAGCATCCCACACTTGCAGATAGAAAAAATGTCTCTGGCCTCCTATTTCAGTTGTTCAGAAATTGAAGAGAAGAATCCAATAAAACAAAAAATTGAAGCTGTGTTGCTTGGATGGAAATTGAACAGAAAACAACCCTTAGTGACTAGGCTGGATGGTTTGTAGCTCCGTGCTTAAAAGAACACTATTAGGGGAAAGTTACTGGAGTTGCCCACAGCAGGCCTAGCCTTTTATTGGCCTGTGAGCGTTGGCCTCAGCTTCACGGAGAAGCTGGAAACAGGCTTGGGGTGGAGGAGCAGTGGTGCCCGAGGGAGGCTCCAGGGCTGCAGTCCTGGCCAGGGACAGCTCTGTTCCTGCCTCTGGCAAGGGGAGTGTTGCCAGCAGGTGGAAGGAGGCCAACCTTCCTCCCCGCTTCATGGCCAGCTGCACGCCCCTCTGTGCACGGCCTGCAACAGCCGCCATCTTGCTTGGGTGCCCAGGGCCCACGCCCTCAGCCCTCTGTGAGGTAGCGACTGCCTCACCACGGGTGTCACGGAGCAGCCATTGTGACCTAGGGGGCCAGGACCGGGTCAGGCCAGGCCAGGCTCAGACCGTGGGTCAGTGCGACCTGGTGAGGTGAGGAGAGGAGAGGGCAGGGAGCGAGGGGCTGCCTGAGGAGGCTGCTCAGTGAGGAGGGCTCCCCTCGCCTGGGGGCCTGAGCTGCCAACTCACTCTCGTCCTGCTTCTCCCGCAGAGTCGGCAGAGGAGAGTGTGGAAGACAAAGCTCAGCGCTGACTGGGCAGGGACTCCGAGCGCTCACTGTCGACGCGTGCCATGTCCAAAAGGAAGCAGAAGACCTCCAACCCGGAGGTTGAAGGTGAGAGCAAAGGATCTCTGCGTGCAGCTCCCTGCCGGGCAGAGGGGCACTGCGGGCTCTGCCTACTGTGTGCGAGAGGGGAGGCGGGGGCAGGCAGGGGCTCCCCACGCACCGCTGGGCATGGCCCCTCTGCCCCTCAGCCGGGTTGGCCTGTGCGTGCCTGCTGGGACCGTTGGGCCTACAGCGGCCCTTTCCCCCTCGCGTCGTCCAGCCCTGCCCCTCATCCTGCATGGCAGACCCAGGGCAGGCCCCTGGCAACAGGCCTCAGGGACGCTTGGCACTCACTCCTGCTTCTCTTTGCTCTCTCCTCTTCAGTATGCATGCTGTGTCGCCGAGCAGATGTTCACCCGGACGCCTGCGGGCCCATGCTTGGCGAGAGCGGGCTTTGCGTCCACAAGTTTTGCTTGGTGAGTTCCCTCAGGACTCCTTCCGCCCTCCAGCCAGGGATGCTCCCTCTTTTCCATCCTGTCCTCATGACATCCTGCTCTTTTCTCTGCTACAGTTTTTTGCCGACGGCCTTTACGAACACACTGCCGGACAGAGGGCGGTTCTGCAGATCCCCCTTGATGCCATCAGATGCGCAATCGAGGAGGCAGAGCAGAAGGTGAGGAACTCAAGGAACGGGGATGTTTGTGCCAGCACCAGCTAAGCCTGGAGCCTAAGCAAGCAATGGCACTCTTTCCACCTAGCACCAGGACACAGTTCTTGATTAAACAAAGATCAAACTTGTCTGCTGGCGCGTCTGCAGAGCGTGACCCAGCGATGCCTGCATTCTGTGCCCTGCCTGGAGGCGTGGTGTTGGCCTCAGAGGCCATGAGCCTGCTGCTAATGGGGGCTACTCTTCTTTTTCCAGCACTGCTTCGTTTGTGGAGACAAGGGGGCCTCCATCTACTGCGCAGAGACAGGCTGTGAACGCAGCTTTCATCTGCCCTGTGCCACGGATGGGGAATGTGTCATGCAGTTCTTTGGGCAGCACAGGTAAGGGCTGTCAGCAGCAGCCAACCAAGGGAGGAACCTGCACGGCTGCTTCCCAGTGCTGAAGCATGCAGCAAACTCCTTTGTGTTCCTCTGCTGACATCGCAGCACTTCTCGGCTCACCCATCCTGTCCATCTTCCCCCAGGTCCTTCTGCTGTGAGCACTGCCCTCAGCAGGCCGTGGAGGCAGCTCCAGAGCAAGACACAAACTGCGTCATCTGCCTGGAGCCCGTGGCGGACAAAAAGTCCTACCACACCATGGTGTGCCCGGTGTGCACACAGGCCTGGTTTCACCGGAGCTGCATCCAGGTAGGAGCCCTCCCTGCCCTTGCTCTGCAGTCACAGCAGGTGCTCAGCTGCACCAGGCCCCACTCACACTCTGACTGCTTGTGTTACCGCTGCAGGCACAGGCCATGAGTGCTGGCATTCTGCACTTCCGATGTCCCGTCTGCAAAGACAGGATGCAATTCCGGAAAGAAATGCATCTCCTCGGGATCCAAATCCCAGCCAGGTTGGTGCCTTCTGCCCAGCTCTCCAGATACTGAGGCGCAAGTGCTGTGCCTGCCCAGGGATTGCCCCCAGCACGCCCAGCTGACCCTCTGCTGTCCCACGAGCCTTGGCCGCAGCTTCATGGAGAAGCTGGGAATGGGCTTGCGCTGGAAGAGCAGGGATGTCCCAGATCCGCTCTATGCATGGGGTCCTGAGGACTCATCGCTGTCTCTCCTTTCTCTGGCAGAAGACCAACATGGGAGGACAAGGAGAGCTATGAAACTCTGCACAAGAAACACCAGCGCTGTGATGTCGGCGAGTGCCTTCACACAGAAGGCAGGGAGCAAGCAGAGAAACATGGGTGAGTTACCACAGCAGCCCTGCGTGGGATCTCAGCCTCCCCCCAGGCTGGGGAGCAAGGACTGAGCTCAAGAGCTGCTCCCGCCACTCCCTGCTTGACTCATTTTGTGCACACAACTACAACCTCTTTTTTTTTTTTTCCCTAGACCCTGGGAGCTGCTCCTGTGCACCTCGTGTGCTGCGCAAGGCACCCACCGGCTCTGCTCCGATTTGAGCAACAGCCTGAGCAGCTGGGAGTGTGACAGCTGTGCTGGCGTGGGCTCAGGTAAGAGGCAAAGAGCCGTGGACTGCTGCCTTGGGGCCAGGCAAGGCCTGGCACAGTGGCTCCTCTGTGAGTTTCTCTGCCCCGGGAGGGCTGGGTTCCTCTCCCTCCACGGGGCTGCCGGGTCATCCTGTTGACCTTCCTGCCTCTCCTTACAGCCTCCAGTGCCGAGTCGCAGCTTGCTGGTCCCAGCACTGCCAGCCAGGAGGCGCCGGGGCCATCTCACAGCTCCCCAGCACCTGATGACCGCAGATCTGCCTCCACCAGCCAGGCAGCATCGGAGTCATCTCCGAGTTCCCAGCTGCCTAAGCACAGCAGCCTGTCCAGCCAGCCCAAGACAGGACAGAGGAAAAGCCCGCGACGTAAATCCAACCAAGAAGATCAAGGGAGCAGCCAGCAGGAAGAGGGGTACTCTGGCAGAAGGCAATCCAGGCAGCAGAAGGGCACAGGCCGGACAAGAAGTCGCTCTCCCCTCAAGGGTCGTGCCTCAAATTCCCCCAGCCAGCTCAGAAGACCACCTGGCAGCAGACGCTCTCCAGCCTCAGGCGTTGGGAAGAGCATGTACATCTCTGCCAGGCAGGGGGCATCCAACAATTCCCCGGGGGCTGCCAACATCAGATGCCCAAGCCAGGGACAAAACCAGTCCTCCCTACAAGGACCGGCATCAAATCCCTCGAGCCAGCCCCAAGGACGCCGTGGTAGCAGCCAGCAGGAAGTGGGGTACTCCGGCAGAAGGCAATCCAGGCAGCAGGGCACAGGCCGGATAAGAAGCCGCTCTCCACTCAAGGGTCGTGCTTCAAATTCCCCCAGCCAGCTCAGAAGACCACCTGGCAGCAGACGCTCTCCAGCCTCAGGCATTGGGAGGAGCATGTACATCTCTGCCAGGCAGCGGGCATCCAACAATTCCCCGGGGGCTGCCAACATCAGATGCCCAAGACAGAGACAAAGCCAGTCCTCCCTACAAGGTCCGGCATCAAATCCCTCGAGCCAGCCCCAAGGACGCCGTGGCAGCAGAATTAGCCCGGCCCAAGGTGCTGGGAGCAGCACCCAGAGCTCTGCCGGACCGGTGGCGTCGAGGTCCTGCAGGGATTCCCAGCTGCCTGAACGCAGAAGACGTTCCAGTGTTCTGCAGCGAGGGCAGAACCAAGATCGAAGCCGTTCCCCACGGGATCGTCGGCCTTCCAATTCCCAAAGACAGTCGGGAGGAAGCCTCAGCCCCCGTTCCAGGCAGCAGCGGCCATCTCAGGCACGATGCCACTTCCGGGAGCAGCCCTGAAGATCCTGCAGGAGCAGCCATGGACCAGAGGGAAGAAAAAGAAGCGTTAATGGCTTACGAGCTGGTCTGGCACGGCCCCGTGACTATCGAGGCAACGGACTCGTGGGCCCCAGGAGAAGCATACGGAGATTGCAGACGGGTCTACAAAAACTACAAAGCAGCGGCAACCATCTGACGAGTCCGCGAGAGGGAGAGCGGCCGGTGTCCTGCCAGGAGCTGCAGCTTTCTTCCTCTGAGCCCAAAGTCCTCTGGGGAATGCCGCTCCTCCTTTCCCCTCCGACAACCAAAATGCCTCAAAAAAGCAGTGCACAGAACCAGAACATCAACTCTCCAACTCCCACCGCTTTACGTGATGTTCTGATGTGGAATACCAACAACAAAAATTACAACACCACAACAAAAATTACAACACCACAACAAAAATTACAACACCACAACAAAAATTAAAACCAAAAATTTACCCCCAAAAAGCTGTCTAGTGTCTACTCTCTAAACCGGGAGCTGAATACTCCAGGTACACCGTTAGAGCTCTGAGGATGAAGAAGGATCAAGGGTATATCCCCTGCAAAGGAGCAGGGCAGATATCTTTACACAAGCACGGCGCTTCCAGGAGGACTGGTCAGAGAAGATCCAACCAAAGGCTTACAGGCAACACAGGCTCTTGGCATATGTATGTAGCTTCATTGCCAGAGCAGGCTGATTTTGCACAACTATGGCTACGCTACACCCAGCCTGTCCTAGCTCATACTGAGCCCCCTTGGTAGCCTCCACACGCAGCTCTTTGGTGGTGTTCACACCCAGCATGACTGCAGTGACTGCAAGGGGTCCTCTGCTGAGCTACAGCCCAGTTCAGCTGCATCTCAGCGCTTGTCTGAGCACGCATGAGTAGGTCAAATAAATGGAGGGGGAAAAAAAAGTGTTATTGGGCCTGTCCTGCACAGCCCAGTGACTGATGAGGCAAGGGAATAAATAAATCCAATATGAATAAACTGAATATATTAACATCACTATTACACCATTTCACCTTCTTTTATTTTTCATGTGTTTTTCCCCCCCGTCTTTGCTTTTCCCAGGCTCATACATTCTGGGTTTTTGCTTTTTATTTCTGCATAGTATCGTCCTTGGCAGATGGCACACAGACCTGGCTTTACCAAACACAAGGCAGCAGAAGCTATCATCAGGAGCAGCTTTCAGACCAGCAGAACAGTGTTTCAAAAAACACCCATGTGCTTAAGAATTTTTCCAGGTGCATAGTTTTTTTCTGCCAACTGCTGACAACTGCTAAGTTCCTACAGTCCTCTAGATATCAAATCTCGGGAATGTAAGTGACGAGACCCACTCTCATCCAAAGCGAAGGGGCTGCCAAGCCAGGGACGAGAACTTTATCTGCCTTCTGCCCTGTACCTCCAGGACAACTCCAGGGCGATAGGAGCATTGGCCCGGGCAGCCGCACCGACCCGGCGGGCTACAGACAGCGCAGCGCCGGCCTGCCTGCAGGGGGCGCCAAAGCACCGGACGCGGCGCTTTGTGGCGCAGCGGCTCACGCCGCTCCCCTCCGCCCCTCGAGCGCCCGCCTCGCCGTGCTGGCATTGGTCTGAGAAGGCGGTGATGTAGGGGCGGAGGGGAGGAGTTGTACCTACCTGCCGCACTCGTTCTGCTTTCCAAGAAATACACTATTTTTTTCTCTTATTTATTATTATTTTTTTCTCTCACGTTTGGCCTGCATTATTCTCCAGCTCCTACAACAGTTGTTCTCCCTTACATCAGCCCCGAGTGCACATAAATCGCTTTTTGTACACCGACATTGATTGTGGCAGAAAGCTCAGCCTGTACTGGGCTCTCTATGCAGCCTTGGGCTGCGCTCATCCCTGTCTGCTTTCCTTAGAAAACCCCTACAGCTCACACCGATCCTCAAAGCTTCCATACACTGCAGTTTTATGCATCTCCCTTTTATTATTGTATGCCTTTGTCTTTACTCTCTGTGGTGCAGAGGGATGCTTTATCCAGGGTTCATGTCAATAAATCACTCTTACAAGTGGCCATGCTGAATTCTCTGCATCTGATGCTGTGCAGACAGATAGCACTGAACAGTAACATAGAAGATAAAAGTGTAGTTACACTGAGTATTTCCAAATTGTGGTAACCGAAGTCACCTTCATAGAGTATGTCCATAGCATGGCATGGAGGCAACTGAGGATACTGTGGGATTCTGGATGGGTGATGGGACTTCAGTTCTGGAGCGGCTGGGAATCATAGAAACATAGAATGATTAAGGTTGGAAAAGACCACTAAGATAATCTAATTTAACCATCAGCCCATCTCCACCATGCCCGCTAACCGTGTCCTGCAGCACCACATCACAGTTCTTGAACACCTCCAAGGATGATAACTCCACCACCGTTATCCAGCTTTAAGAAATTCATGTCTGTATACAATACATCAGATAAAACAGGGAAGGAGATAGATATCATCAGAAAGAACAGGGAAAGAAAACAAAACAAAACAAAAACAAACAAGAAAACATACTTTCTCAGAGCCCAACAGACTCCCCGGAAGAACAGGAAGCCAGGCAGTCTAATGGCCTCAACATTCATCTGACTTAGCTTCCACCACTTAGAAGCTACTGCAGACAGTCCTAAACCTTACTTGCCCATGAGCTACAAGCTGAACAGAATGGTACAAAAGAGGCCCACTATCAGAATTAAGTTTGCATCCTGCTCAAATATGGTATGCAGCTGGTTTGACACTGTGGCGTCAGAGGATGATACAAGCTACAGAGAAAGAATATGCAAAGAAAGAAGGCACAGTGAGGCAGAGTAGGGAATGGCTTCCATGTGGGAGTGCATAAGTAGATTAAGACTCAAATAAATTGCCTCTCTTACAGAGCAAGGAATATAATAGGGAGCTAGTGACATGGAAAGGGTGAACAGGAACAGATGTCATGTATCTTCCAAATTAAGACCTAGTAAATAAAATCAGGAAGTTCAAAATGAACAGAAAGCAGCATGTCTGCACACAATTAATTGTGGAGCTTTACAGTTTGCTAAAAGACAGTAAAATTTTGCATGTGTTCAGAAAGGGCTTGGGGACATTCAGGGAAGAGGAATGTGTGAAGGCTCTTGTATTGACAGACACTGACACTGGATCAGGAAGTGCCTGCACCAGAGGCTGATGAGGCTGCATGTGTGCTGCTGTTGGCTTCTATCATGCATGGGGCTCACTTAGGTGGACCTTTGGATGGATATTCTGTAATGGGAATGTATGTGGAATGGGAATGTCCTTTTGTAGGTGTTGTAGATGTTCAGCAGTTGCCTTTAAATGTAGACAAAGGAAGCACTTCCTAGTCCCTAAGGTGGCAGTAGCTCAGTGCGTAACTACATTTTTGCTTGGCTGCATATCAGACCTTTCTTCTACTGACAGGAGGAGAGGTAATGGCCTCAAGTTGCACCACTGGAGTTCCAGGTAGGATGTTAGGACAAATTTATTCTCTGAAAGAGTGGTGAGAGACTGGAATGGGCTGCCCAGGGAGGCGGAGGTGTCCATGTCTCTGGAGGCGTTCAAGAAATGTGGAGATGTGGCACTGAGTGGGCATGGCTTAGTGGGCATGGTGGTGATGGGTCAATAGCTGAACTGGGTGATCTTAGAGGTCTTTTCCAAACTTAACAACTCCATAATTCTGCAGTTCTCTTATGCACTGGGTTTCTGTAGCCTCAGTTGTTCTGTGGTACATAGCTGCAGGTAAATAATGGCAGTCACACCAATTAATTTTCTTCAATGAGTGCATATAAAATAGAAGCTTCTCCACTTTTTTTCTTCTTTTTAAATAAGCAATATGAGTTATGAAGCTGAACTCAGACATGAAAGTACTTCAAAAATAAAGGTTTATTTTGTACACCTTCTGATTATAGCAGCAGATTCATTTCAATGTGTAAAGCTATTTTATTTCGCCTCATAATATTCAATAAAGCCCTGAATTATAGCAAGATCGAGTATTTTGCAAATCTTCCTTTTCTCTGTTTCTCTGTGATCCAGCTGCATAGACCAACAGTCCACCAAAATGCAGAGAAATAAGAACAGAACTGAGCAAACAAAAGCTCCGAAGCTGAAAAGATCCAAGTAATAAAAAAGATTATTTTGGTACAAAGCATATGAGATATTACAGTTTTAATAACTTTTTTTTTTCTCATTAGAAAATTGCCTTCAGAAAGAAGGCACATTCTATTTTCATGTGAAATGTTTGAAGGAATCCAGCTATTTAACTGTTCAGCTTTTTTCAGTTTTGCTTTATGTCCATTTGCTAATATCTTTTTATGTGTTTAAATAATTTGTTTCAGCTTCCTTTCTGTCCTTTTAAATTAATAATTAGAAGGCAGACACAGAAATAAGTCCTTTATTCTAATGAAAAAGAATGAGTCATTAGTGCTTATCATTCTAAAACACCTTTTACTCTGGGAATTTTCAGAAGATTTTCAAGTGTGACCTACTGTGCAAATTGCTGCTTTTGCCACGGTGTAGAGCCAGTAGTTGCTCTGACATCCTGCAGGCTGAGTAGGGCTGGGGTGCTGTGCTGTCAGGTCTGGCTGCAGGAAGGATCTGTGTCTGCTTCTTCCACAGATCCTTCCCAGCAGGGCAGTTCCCCATGCCCTATCCAGCCTGGCATGAGAAGGCAGAAGAATCTGTCCCCCTTAGCTGCCTAAGGACCTCATCTCTCTCCTTGAGCTTCTTCACAACTGTAGAAAATGGAAATGCTTTCTTTGCTGTTTGGATCCACTTCCACATGTGTGTGAAAGCTGAATGGGTCGGTGCTGGTTCACTCAGCCTGGCTGCCCCTGCAGACCACCAAGGTCCCCTCTGCAGGGCAGAGCAGGTGAGTTTTTAGGGACTTTAGGGAGATAAGCCAAAGGGAGATAAGCTCTAACACAACTGAAAGGGATAAAGTTTGGTACCATATTCTCATTCTGCTATTTAATGCAATTATAGGATCTTAAAGGTTGGAAAAGGCCTCCAAGACAATCATGTCCAACCATCAACCCCCACCCCATGCCCACTCACCACGTCTCTCAGCACCACATCAAACTTTTTCTTGAACGCTCCAGGGACAGTGACTCCATCACCTCCCTGAGCAGCCTGTGCCAGTGTCTCGCCACTCTTTTACAGAAGAAACTTTTCCCAATT